TGACAATACATAATCTTCTTTGGAGGGACTCCTTGACCGAGTGAATCCTTTTGGCCTGTACTTTGCTGTGCCAGACGTAGAAAGGTTTCCACAGATTAAAGCGGATGAAGAATGGGATCCGGATGAGCTTGCAGTGGTAGTTATACTCTTCTTCCCAGCGTTCGGTGGTTATGAAGTCGACCTTGTTCTTGTAATTTGTTACCACACCTTCAGGACTTATCGTCAGAAAGTCTTCCTTACTGTACACATAGACTACATTGGTGTGAGTGTCCATAATTCCAGTGCTCTTGATGGAAAAAGGCCTTTTTGGGGGAGTAGGGATTAACTCAGTTTTTTTTTTTTTTTGTGCCATCTAAAAATTGGTTGAGAAACACAATCAAAGGGTAATTACATTCTGCATGAAGCGCATTTAAGGAAATAAACAATGAATTGTAACAAAAGCTTTGTCAAGTTTTTGCCTGATGTGCCGGATTTTGAAACCACACTACATGTTGTACCAGTTATTTAAAATGCCACAGTTTAACAGTAGCCATGATAAAAGCATTGGTTTTTTTTAGAATAATGAAATCGTGGAGTGGTGCTGTGAGGACGTTTTCTTGAAGGCATCCCAAAGCTCTCTCGATAAAAAGCAACAGGGTTTTAACATTGGATTTTGGTATATTCCAAAAAAGAGAAACTAACTACATCATGATGGCATGGCTGCGTGTCACCACCAATAAGCTAAAGGCGGCTAATGTACAGCATGTTTGCGTCTAGGAGTCTGATATAGTCACTCGTTATCATCTGCCATTTTTACAAGACATATAAGCTTCGGAAATTCACAAATGGGGTGTTTTATTTAAGTATTTTTGTCGTAGAAAGTAACATAAACATATCTTAATCTTGTGTTAACTACAGACATTATTTCAGGCATCCAACCAGAAAGCGGTTGACTCTGAGACGAAGGATCCAGAAGTAGAGAAATGCTAACTCAATCCCGGCTTTAAGGACTCATTCCTGCACGATTCTATTTCGATTCATACATAAATAAATGCTGGAAAAATGCTCAAAGGTTGTCATCCCTTATTGCGAAGCAGCAGTCAATCCTAAAATGTAATAAAGAGATCAATCCCAGATCAAATTTTACTTAAACGGCCATGGAATTATTGTCTTTAGCGATTGTTATGTCATGGTAAATGTTATGTTAAATGTCTGTTCCCTTTTTGATGTTGCAAATGAAGCCGCTGAAAAAATGCGACTTGATCTGGCAATAACGTTTGATAATATTCTCGAACATGTCTGTCACTGACCTTAGTCCTGGATTTCAGAGGAGGGAGATGGACAGGCATTTTTTCTCTAGGCCTTTGTGGCTGTTCTGGTTGCGGTTGATAAGGCGTCTGAGTGTTCCAGCCTGGAAAATACATCCGCTTCATGTCTTTTATGTGTTCGAGGCTGGGTTCTTTCCTTTTAACACGTCTTTTCAGTACAGCCTAGAATCAGGGGAAGAAACAGACAGATACATAAGATCTACATACTGTACCACTTTGTGACTGAGCCACTGGTCATATTTAAATAGAATGGGAAGTAGTGTATTGGGTGTAGAGTAGAAAGTATTTCATATTGTGTCAGTTTGCCACATCTCACCAGGGGGTCTTGAACCACTGGAGGTCTTGGTTGGATGTTGGTGGAGCTCAGGATTTCAGGAAGCTTGTGCAGCCGCTCTGGGACAGGATGTAAAGTGGAGTGTAAGGTTAGTATTGAATTAAAGACGTGACAAATCAAGGTTTGTTGGCAGGGCTGGAAGAATTACTCAGATTGTTATACTTTTATACTACACAATTGTAAAATACTCTGTCAAAAGTAAAGTCCTACATTCAAAACTGTACTTAAGTATTGAACTCAAAATAGACCAAAAGTACTCGTTATGCGTGATAGCCTGTTTCAGAATCGTTTATATATTAAATTACTGGATTCTGATTATTGATACCTTAAAAGTGTCTCACACAGCTGGTAAAGGTGGAGCTCATTTGAATCACTTTAGATTCTGCTTCTGGATATTTTGAACTATATTTACATGTCAATGTTTATTTTTGTGTTGATTTGTATTTTCTATTATCTGTGAAATGTACAATATTGGCTTCCAGAATTTAGTGGAGTAGAAGTTTAGAGTAGCATTAAGTAAAATACCAAGTTAAAGTATTAACAATTCTACTTAAGTACAGTACATGAGTGACATTCCACCACTGTTTGTTGGTTATACAGCGGTGGAAAAAGTATTTAGATTATTTACTTGGTTGAAAGTACTAATACCACACTTGGAAAAAAGCTACATTTCGAGTAAAAGTACTGCATCAAAAATGGTACTTAAAGGTAGGGTAGGTAATTTTGAAGAAACCGGCTCTCGTGAGCTAGAATTTGAAAATACACAGCCAGAAAAAATCGGCCACTTCCTTACAGAGCCCCTCCTCCAACACGCACGAACGCGCACATAACCAATGAGGGCACGAGATAAGTTTGTGCACAGATGGAAAGCTGACAGGCAGGTAGGCCATCCAGTTATTTTAGCCGGGCCGGCTAAAATGATTGGTCGTGCTTTTTACAGTATTACGGCTTCCACAGATGACATTTTTTTATGGATTTTTTGTCAAAGCACTTAAGATATTCATCGCTATAGGGATGTTAAGAGCATTCCATGGAATATAACAAAAAGTGTATCTCGAGCCGGTTTCTCAAACTTACCTACCCCACCTTTAAGTAAAAGAATAATTAGGAAAATGTACTCAAAGTATTAGGAGTTAAAGTACTCAAAAGAACAGAAAAAACAAACATATAAATATTTGTAAAATATTTGAAAGCAAAAGCAGCCAAACTTAACATTTAAAGTGGACCTATCATGATATATTTGAATAATATAGTGTAGGACCATACCTATATAAGGCATATTTATACTTTTTTTTTTTTCAAAATACCAAACAGATCATGCATTTTAGCCATGCCTCATTTTGCTCAATTTGACATTTTTTAGCTCTGTTTTTGCAAGGGCAGATTCTGTGAGAACAGCACCATCTACAGGCCTGGCATATGTACTACAGCGTCTCCAGCGCTTTCGAACGGCAATGACCGTGGCTGTCTCCTCCTGATTGGTGGAGTTGGCCCAATAGCCGTAGCGCCACCGTCCTGACGTCAGGACAGTGTTCAAATCTGGATCAGTTTTTATCAGATCCGTTGCAGCCCCTTTTTTAGAGATTTTGGTATGGAGGAAAATAGAGAGGGTTGTGTTTTCTGACACTTGGTGAGTTCCCTGGAACACCGGGGACACATATTCATGTATAAAAGACGTACAAAAGTGCATTTTGCATGATAGGTCCCCTTTAAGTAACTGGGACAGTGAAATATTTGTAAACAGATAACCTTCCTCGCAAAATTGCTGCCAATTAATTTTCTGGTAACCACAATTGGTTTTATTTACTTAAATATAATGTTGGATGGTTAAACTATACGTAATAAAATCATAATTCAAAAGTGTTTCCAAAGTGTTGTGTGTCAAAATCTGAATGTATAAAGTAACTACTAAATAAAACTGTAAAATAAATATGGCGGAGTAAAAAGTACAAATTTGCCTTCCAAAATGTAGAGTACTAGTAAATGTACTTAGTTACCTTCCACCACTGGTTATACAGATAAACAGGTACGACATAAACCAGAGGTGGGAAAAGTACTCAGATATTGTACCTAAGTAAGAGTATAAGTACCAGAGTGTAGGAATACTGTTGCAAGTAAAAGTCCTGCAATCAAAATGTTACCCAAGTAAAAGTACAAAAGTATATATACAAAAAATATATATATTTAATGTTTTGATTATAATTATTGATGATTAATGTGTTTATCACAGCTGGTAAAGGTGGAGCTATAACCACTTTATTTACTGTCTGCAGGGTCACTTGTGAATTTGACTCCAGGTGTAACTGAAGTCTTATTTAAGTGTTGAATATATTTCACATTATTAATCGAAATCTGCAAAGTAACTAAAGGTATAAAATAAATGTAGTGGAGTTAAAGTACACAATGTATCTCTGAATTGTAGTGCGGTAGAAGTACAATGTAGTGAAACACTGAATACTCAAGTAAAGTCCAAGTCTCTCAAAATTGTACTTGAGTAGAGTACTTGAGTAAATGTACTTAGTTAATTTACACCAATGGAATTATTCAAGTAAAGTGCAAGTACCTCTACATTGATTTAAGTACAGTACTTGAGTACATATACTTGTTTAATGTACACCACTGTAATTAACACATTTTGTAATATCTAAAAGGGCCAATAGCAGCCTACCTCTGGACCCATTGTCCCGACCTGTACCGGGGGGGCTCGGCAGAAAGAACCGGGGAGAAGCAGAACCCGAGGCCATGGTGTGTGACCCTCAACGGCTGTAGAACAGTGGAAGGACATCCGGAAAGAGGAGGCACATTGTAATTTCGTACATTTTCTTACGATAAACAGCCGTAATAATATATACAACTGTTTGTTACTTACGACTAAATTAATTAATGCAGTATAAGGAGATAACATCGTCCATATTTTTGAATGTTGAATGTACACTTTGAATGTTGTTCAAAGTGTAGCTAAAGGTAAATAAGCAACTTAAAATGTTGTTCACACGTTAGCTAACGGCAAAATACTACTTACATGTTTCTTCAAACGGTGGCGTACGTTAAATTAGAATACATTTTTGATATTCTTAATCTTCGAGTATATTCAAACATGCTTACCGTGTTAAATATTGAACTTCGACAAAATGTCAAAAAGTCGCAACGCAACCGTTATATACTTTATAAAATGTTCAACGCTTCGCTAAGGTTGCTGACCAAAAGCTGAGGTGTACCGTTTCCTTAGCAACAGACCTCTCTCCCAGAATGCAACGTAGCAAACCAAAACCACGTTGTTTCTGCTTCTTGGCAGTTTGACAAATGTAAAGGAGCTCATAAAATACAGCATTTACATCTTAACCACAAAGAATAGGGTGCATTTTTTAATATGTTTATTTATTGTAACAACGTTTATTTTTACATACTACACATGACACATCATACCCTTATAAATAACATTTACAAAATGTGGTATATTAGTGCACAAAATAAAATAAAATGTTGCCATTTCACAAGGGCACCGACAACACAAATTGCTGTCTTATGACTTTTGCACAAATGGTAATATCATATCTACAAATAGTGCAAATAAGCCCTAAAATCACACATGGTTATTTTCCTTGAGCAAAGGAACAGTTGCTGTTATAGAGTGTCTGGATCCACCATGGCTGTCTTTCTTCGCTGTGACGCCAACATACTCAGCTGTTAAAAAAAATACATAATTATTATATAACAGTATTCAATAGATAACAAAGAGACTGAAAAAAAAACAGATTTGTCTACGTTAGAGTCAAGAGGGAGAGGTAGAGTAAGTATTGCGATCTTTTACTTTTTTTTACTTGAGTAAAAGTATACTAAAGCGAAAACAAATACTTAGTTACAAGTCAAAGTCCTGTATTCTAAATTGTACTCAAGTAAAAGAACAAAAGTATCAACATAAGTACTTAAAGTACTCATTATGTATATGTAGTATGGCCCATTACAGCATTATATATAAATACAAATGTCGTTTTTGTAATGATTTGTTTATCTCTTGATGAGGGGTTTATTTGTAATATATAATTTACTGCTGGGTACCTTACATATGTAATAATATAATCATATGTCCAAATGTATTACTTGATTTACATTTCGTACAATTTATCAAAATCTGCAAAGTATCTGAGGCTGAAAAATAAATGTAGGGGAATATAAAAGTACAACAATAAGTAACTAAGTAAATTTACTTAGTTGCAAGAGTTCCCATACCTGTTGTGTAGCAGTGGTGGCCTTTTGTTCAGATTGTGTCAGTCTTCTCTGGAGACGACTCGCCTTCTCTTGATACTCTGCTACCTGCCTCTCATACTACACACACACACACACACACACACACACACACACACACACACACACACACACACACACACACACACACACACACACACACACACACACACACACACACACACACACACACACACACACACACACACACACACACACACACACACACACAACACACACACACACACACACACACACCACACACACAACACACACACACACACACACACACCACACACACACCACACACACACACACACCACACACACACACACACACACACACACACACACACACACACACACACACACACACACACACACATTTGACTGTTCAATCATCTGCTGAACTCCATAGCACCGACAACTTACATTTAAACTTTTCCCAACCGCCTTTCTTATGCTGCATGACACTTTAGATTATAAAAATAGTCTCTAGTAAAAAACCTGAAGACGTAGCCTACGGGGATGGACACACATCTTAAATTTCCTCATAAAAAAAACAGAAATGTGTAAGAACTTCTCATCCTTCATGTCCCTTTACACCAAACTCTGGAAATCAAGCTGCAGGGTAGTGTATGTGTTACCTCAGCAACAGTATTATGGTCTTTTTCCAGCTGCATCTCCAGCTCATGTGAACGCTGCTTCTGCCGATTCAGCTCGCCTCTGAAATAGAGAGGAAAAAAGAGTTGAAACCCTCTCACATCCATGGGAAAAAAAAGTATAAAGCTTTATTTTCAAGTGTTTCAAAATGTTCAATACATCTCAGGTAGTACAGTTGGTGCTGAGGGCGAAACAACTTTAAGTGGTAAGTCAATTTTGGTTTCAACTCCGATCGAAATCTTTATTGCTCCACTTAAGCTGTTGCTCGTTCTTTGATCCAGTGTTTGTGATCAAACTGATGAAGAACAGTCCTTGGGCAGTATCATAACAAAGTATTGTATTGCACCTAAAAGAGTATTTTATTACATATTCTTTATTATATCAAACTGTATCATATAAAGGCATCAGAATAATTTGGCAGTCTGTCAGTTACCCACCAGTTTCCAGTAGACTGCCTATCTTAGCATGCTTCATTTTGTCTGGTTTCTTTGACGAGACACATTTTTCTGAGCACAATGGATCACATTATCTACACCCTGCTAAGTCACACTGACTGATAATGTTCGAGATGTCTATGTTCCCTTTCAATTTTTACCAGGAAGCCGGTGTTCTAGGCCTGACATTAGTGTCTTTCAACAGTAGCAGCAGGCTGCGTTGAAAAGCAACAGGGAAGGTATAAAAAACTGGATAACAGTCTTACCATGTCAGGATATTTTGTCAGACAGGAAGCACAATCTAAAATAAATTATTGATTTTGGTTGGTGGAAAAACTGGCATGGCCATATTCAAAAGGTGTCCCTTGACCTCTCACCTCAACATATCTGTGCAAAAAAACTGCACTCTTGGTATCCTTCATATGTGATGATATTACTCCCCATAGAAGCCATTTCATGTTGAAGTTTAGTAGTGTCCGTTTACAGAAACTGCGCTATATATTGATGGCATTCAGCTTTCCCATGTATATTGACAATAAAGGTTGTTTTTTTTGCAGTCTTTTGAACAGAAGTGCTTGCCATTAGATCACAGTTTTTGCAGAAATGTTCAAATGTCAAACGTTTTTGATACTTAAGCACAGCATGAATGTTTCTATGGTGTTCCTTAAGGTCTTGTTGTCTTACTGTAGTATGTTAGAGGGATATTTGACAATGCATGTTATTGATTCTCTAACTGAATAAAAATGTTACAATTATGACCAAAATCTGTGTAACTAATTGTATCAAACCAAAACACAATGTTTCATTGCAGGTTCTTGACTAGAACAACCGTTCCTCTCTGGATCTACCTTGACTTCAAAATACTAATGTTGGTTTATGAAGCACTGTATGGTTTCAGGCCAAAATACATTTCTGATCTTCTGCAACATTATGTACCATCCAGAACTCTGGGCAGGATCCGCTTTCTGTCCCTAGACGCAAAACCAGACATGGAGAAGCAGCGTTCAGTTATAACGCTCCGTACATCTGGGGAAAACGACCAGAAAACTCTGTGCCTTGCTTTACATCAATCGTAACAAGTCCTTACTTGAAGCCTGTCATTTTAGTCTCGAAGGCCTGAACGAGGTTCTTGGCCTCCTCTTTCCAGCGCTGGGTGCTTTTCTGCTGAGCCGCGAGGAGGCGCGTCAGGTCAGCGCAGGAGCTCCGGCTGCTATCTTCCAGCTCCTGCACGCGTGTGTCCAATCCCTGCTCCTTCAGGCTGTACTCCTGCTCCATCTGTGCCAACTGGGGGGGGGGGGCAGCAGAGACACACAACTAGTTGTCAACTGCCATAGAGCTTGAAATAACTCATAATATAATATAATATCATAAAATGGCTATCAGAAAGACTAGCAAACTGTAGGCATTGAGTTATAAAACATGTGGGCATTTGCCAGAAAGTGATGGTCTAATTGAAATGATAGGAGTTGAATTAAGGGCATTGTAAGATCTAGGGGTTTTAAAACTTGAACAATACTTAAAACTACAGATATATCTGCTTCTACTGCATTCATTTTCTTTTAGCCATGAGGCTTGATGGATGTCAATGTTGGTCTGTTTGGTAAAGATTGTAATATGTAAAACTAGACTGATGGACGTGGACATTTTTCTCATACAGTCATGTTCTTGAGAGGATGAACCCTATTGACTGACATGATCTTCTGAATATCCTGTCACGGCCCGTCCACACAGCGGCTTTGGAAAAAGCTTGCCGGCGGGCGTGTCTGAAGCTCGACCAACAACAAATCACATGAATCTCCCGCCCCTGACACACAAGCAGCGGTTTGATTGGCTAGAGCTTGTACTGGCATATGATTTGATTGGCTGACGCTTCCACCGAAAGCTTCAGAAGCTTCAAAAGTTGAACATTGCTCAACTTTTGCAGCCTGAAACGCCAGGAAAGCTCCGCTCTGCTTCCCACAATGCAGTTTGGCGAAAAGTGACGTCACCCCATTCAAAGTGAATGGGCAGAAGCGTTGGAAGAAGCTTCCAAAGCCGCTGTGTGGACGGGCCGTAACACAACCAGTGGATTCATATTCTCACTTATCCAACAAAAATCTATATTAAGTGTGTTTAGAATATTTGGACTGATTGCCATTTTTTACTGCCATTCATGTTCCCCAGAGGATAAATGCTATTGACGTATGTGGTCCTCTGAATTATCCTGTGGCACCAACAGCAGGTAAATATTTTCACTTATCCCATAAAAATATATATATTTGGAATATTTACAGTTTTCACTCGCAGTCAGACAGCCCTTTCCAACAGCCTCCCAGAACCCTAGATTTGCTTCTACATTTCCTCTAGCGGTTCGTTTTTGTTGTTTGATGGTGTGACATTGGTCCTCTTAAAGACCAAAGTCACACAATAAAAAAAGAACTGTTGTTTGGCAATGGAGTCTGGTGGCTTTGAAGGGAGCCCCAATACGTTTCCTGTCATAGAATTCTGCAGACAGCATGGTAAAGCAGTGAAGTATAGCATACTCTAAAAATGATAGATTTTTTGTGCTGGCTCTTTCTTTTAGTTTGCTGCTGCCTTGTGTGTGGGAGGACAATGACAAGTGCTTTACTATAGAAGACTTACACCTTTTTTAACTTATTGTGAGTGTCTGAAGTTCACCATATTACACATTGAAGACTTTCAGTCTGTTTTCATTCTGTTTCTAGCAAGTACCCCTCTTCAAGCACTTTATTGAAGAGCCATAGTATATCGCTGGTATTCCCCAAAGCAGGCTCCGTCCTCCACTCCGCTTATGTCCCTTCCACTGGCTTCCTACTTCTTACATTCTCTATGTTCATCAATCTAATGGGCTAGCACTATTTTGACTTATTGCCCTGCAGATTTATTTCATAACTTTTCTGGTTTTCTTTACCAAAAAACCTAGCTTGACTCGTATTTAAGTGTGAAGGCTGAAATTTCAAGCACAATAAAAAAAAAACATGTTTTAAGAATGTTATTGCGTTAATCTCTATAGTCCCTGATTAATAGTGTTTAATGGCAAGTTTTAACAATAGCATTTTACTTGTATTCGTGGGGGGGGGGATAAAACAAACACACGTCTGGTGTTGTAATAGAACAAATGTATTAGAAACTGGTAATAGAAATTAGAGGGTATTTTTTACTTCTGAATTATTGGCATGAAGTCCTAACAGTTCTTGACACTTAGCTAGCTTAGCCTCTTGGAGCTCACTATCCTCTCTTCCCTGCAATCAACAATGGACTGGGCCAGCATGGGTTTACAAGTCTGGATCTTGGAGAACAAGTAACGGCCCGTCCACACGGCAGCGCGCGTTGAAGCTTCAACGCAGCTTCTCATTCACTTTGAATGGGGTGACGTCACGCTTTGCCGAACTGCATTGTGGTTCCGTCGCGGCGCTTTGCCTCCGTTGCTCGCTTCAAAAGTTGAGAAAAGTTCAACCTTTCAAGCTTCGACGGAAGCGTCAGCCAATCAAATCATATGCCAGTACAAGCTCTAGCTAATCAAACCGCGTGCTTGTGTGTCCGGGGCGGGAGATTCATGTGATTGGTTGTTGGTCGAGCTTCAGACACGCCCGCCGGCAAGCTTCAACGCACGCTGCCTTGTGGACGCTGCATAAGTGTCTCTTAAAAGTGTTTGAAGGAAGTTGCTTGAACTCCAGAGCATTTCTGTTTATATTATATATAATTAACCTTTGTATCGTTTGTTGATTTTCTCTTCTGCGTACCTTGGTCCTTCACAATAAGTGTACCTGTTGTTTGGCCTTCTTTTGGACCAGCATGGTAGCCTTGCGCAGCTCATCCATCTCTTTGCGGAGCTGCAAGTTCTCTCTCTGCAGTTGCAGCCGCTCCTCACTGACGCCGACACAGTCGTCCCGGGCCGAAACCAGAGAGCTCTGCAGGCGCTGCACTTCCTCCTGACACCGCGAGATCTCCTCACTGTAGCTGCACACAGGGCGAGAGATCACAGATCAATCAATCAATCAGATTTCATTTATATAGCTTAATATCACAAATTTCCCTCAGGGGGGCTTTAAAGAGTAGGACTGGGCTCTGGTTTCAGACAGAGGGTGAAAAGAGGTGCTGCAGCACAGGCAGTATGAGGAAAATAAAGACCTTTTTGAACATTAGAGCATGTAAACATGTCACAATAGAGTGCCACAGTGACGCGTCCTAAAACCCGGAAGTAAGCTGCGCATGGGTTCCTTCGACAAAAAACCAATGCAATTTCTCCATAGGATTTTGGAAAATAGCTGGAAATAAGGTCTGTGGTTGACACACATTTAAGAGACGGATCACGTTTTGTTCAGTCGGATAATCTCCACATGTCTACCCTACTTTTATAATTTTCGAATCATAAATCTAATCGATAGATTTATGATCGACAAATGTCGTGTGTAGGGATTAAAAAAGTGAATTATATAAAAGGATGGATTCAGAAGGATGTCAAAAATCTGCCAGGTGTTGCCAAAACATTTTGAAAAGAAAATAGCGCTTTTTAATTTCTTTTCATAAAACCATCATATTGGCAGTAGATGGAGCCACATGGGAAACTGAATACCCCAGGATGTGAGAAGGGATATCAGTGGAGAGTTAAACTTACTCCATCTCCATCTTTTTTAGTCTGTTCTTGGTGCTCTGCAGAGTGAGACTCATGTCTTCCTTCATCCTCTCTGCATCTAGACACCTCTGGTGAAGAGCGTCAATCTTCCTGAACTCTGGTTCTGCGCGCCCCTCTTTATACACCTGAAACAAAAACACCGCAGGCAGCATTAGAACAAGCGCTAGCCTCGCCTCAAGTCATTTTTAAAACCATGTTATCCGCACTCTAGCTAGCTCTAGCAGCTTTTCTCCTGCTGTTCCACCGAGACAGATACCTTCTCCAGCTCCTCTTCTACAGCTTTCCTCTCTCGTAGGGACCTTTCAATCTGAGACTCTTTATCTGCACACTCCTACAGAGAGGTGAAAAGAGAGTAGAAGAGTCAGAATGATAAAAAAAAAAACCTGGTGAAGATTGAAAAAAGAATTTAGTGTAATGTTGAAAGAGATTTGTCCTTAATAGGCCCTTACAAGCTGCAGCGCAGACAGCTCCTCAGCCATACGGTGGATTTGGACGTTGCACTGCTTGCGCACATTATCCACCTGTAAGAGATAAAGGCACACAGTTCCAAAATGTGAAATTACTACTGGGATCTGGAAAGTGCTGTCACTTTATTCCTTTAGATAGACAGTTAGGTTTTATTAGACGAAAGATACGGTACTTGGTGGAAATTCTGTTTTGATTTTTTTCAGGAATTCATTTTTACCTCCAATGTTCCAAGCAAGCATGTGCCTTTATTACCAAAGGAAGAGAAAACAGACGGATAAAAGAAGGGACAATAATGTGTGAAAAATGGTGTAAATACTTCAGAAAGAGTATGTCAAATTGAAGTAGATAGAATGTCAAAGGATTTATGAAAAAATGAACAAGTCAAGGTGGAAATAATCTAGCATGAACCTCGGAAGGCATGAATTGACTTAAATTCACCATAGAAATGACTGAAAAACTGAAAAATAGAGGGACAAAGGTCTAAAAGAATATATATATAATAGAATATATATATAATATTTCTAAGAATGTGAAAGAGACAAATGAGTTAACATGAGCCACCACCTATGGTTTATTTAATGTCATGTTATTTCCTTATGTGTAAGACGTCATATAAGCTGTGGGTTGTCGTGTATGCTCACCATGTCATCTCAATGTCCCTCTTTGGGTCAGACCGTATGACACTACACATCGTCCCTTCTCACTTTGTCCACAATTATATTTAAAGAGGCCCTAATATGCTTTTTAGGGGGGTTTTAACCCAAACAATAATACATCTCAACACGGGGTGATCCAAATCATGCTCAGCATAATAAAATAACAATAACAAATGCTTAATGTATCATCCTAATATATTATAAATAATATAAATTAGCAAAATAGCTTCAACACCACAAATATAAACAGTGCTCCATATCAGTACTAGTGGTCAAGACTCCACAATATATGCTTTAGCTGAACAGTCTGAACCTGTATTTCGAGAAATGTCCACCCTCACCCATGCATTCAACTCTGCTAAATGGTCAATTTAATGCATTCATGTAGCACCTGTCCAGTCTTTGCGAACCCCAATGCTTCTTCATACACCCATTGACACACATTCATAGAGAGGGAGCCATACAAGGTGCTACCTGCTCAGAGAGACTAACATTCACACACACTCATACAACATTAGCCATGCCATCGAGACTTATTTGGGATCAGAGGCCTGTACTACGAAGCTGGTTCAACCTAACCTGGATATGTTGGAGTTAGCCGGTTGGCCTAAGCCAAAACATACGCGCTGGCGCTAAGCTGTACTACGACGCTGGATATCAAGTGGATCGCTCAAGCCAGCCGTGTCCTATCTAGTTAGGTGCGCGTTCACATAAAAGGGGTGGTATTTGGAGCATTCGAACAATCTCAAACACGGAGAAGCGTACTGACAGCGCAGCATACTTCCTGAATGAAAAGTGAACTTTAATATTAGTCAAATATGAAGAAGTTAAACTTTAAACATCCATGACTTAAACACTTTATCCAGGATAAAAGCCACATAGCTGCACCTGCAAGGTGAATACAGCTGGTAAAAGAAAAAGTGTTTGAATGCGTACATTAACAGGTTTATGAAATCACTGCCCCGTATAAGACACGAGTGGATCTGACTTTAATTACATTTGACTCGAGTGTTTCGTCAACTTAATGTGTTGCTTAAAATAATACTTCTGCATACAGTATGTGACACTGTGACTGTTGCACGGCCAGATACGGCTCAAGAAGCTGACTCAAATAAGGAAATACATGATACATTATGATGTGATATGATATGCACTCACAGTGCCGCGGACTGTACTTAATGTTACTCTGATCCGGTTACTTATGTCGTGGCAGATATTTAAGTAAGCTTTCTTAACGCTAATATTATAATAGTCAGATTGCTCTGAAGATGGGAGGGGATATTCTATTAATTTCCACGGCCGTCTTTCCTGCAACGGCAGTTTTTCTGTATTTCCTCTATCCTGTAATATGAATTGATCGCTTTAAACTCCGCAGTCCGCACACGGAGCTCTGATTGGTCAGCAGGCGGTGCTTTCACTGAGTTGATCTCTTAGCCTGCCACCTAACCTGCTCCGAAGCAGGTTTGCCGCTCAGCATAAGTTACCATGGAAATCTAGCCTGCTAAAAAGAGAACCAGCGTCGTAGGACCGGAAAGCCAGAGATTTCCCTGAATTTAGCCGGCTAAGCAAAAATCCAGCTTCGTAGTACAGGCCTCAGGTGTCCTGCACAAGGATACATTAACATGTTGACAGCAGGGGCTGCGGATCCAATGATTGGCTTTCCGATTGGTGGAAAAAAACTCCACTTGCTGATTCTCAGGTAAGTCTGAGGTCTGACTAACATCGTAAGCAGCTTTAGTGTTAATTCTTACACTTTCATTTTCTTAAAATGTCTTCTTATTTAAGATGAGTTGGAGAGGAGATTGCAAACGCCACAACATAGGTGTAATTCTCAAAAGTCAAGCTAATTATCAGTTACTCTATAAAATAACATTTTCTTTTGTAAAAATGGAATTCAGAGAACAAGATGACAGCCCCAGTTTGCCGTCCTACCGGGGCCTCATTAACAGGATTAAACAGTTTAAGGACTTGATGGTGAAGACTCATTAATTGAGCATTACTCACAATGTCCCCGACTGAGGCTAGGCAGGGGGAAGAGCGTCTCTTTGCTTTTGGCTTTGTACATCAGTATGGGGTCGAGCCGCCGTGTCAGGCTAATTATATATCAAATATTCTGTGGTTTCTGTTGTTTATTCAGGGATAAGTTTCTTTCAGAATTTAAGTATAGAGTTAACACCAAATATCTTGACAACAGTGAGTACTTTTGACTAATGATGGGACATCATCAGTATGTTAAAGGCAGCAGATTGTAGTTGCAAACAGTAAATGACATGTAGGGCATTTGGTCAAATAAGCCAAAAGAGGGGTGTAGTGACCCGGAAGTTAGCCTAGCAATGGCTCCCTTGACTAAAAGCCAACGGAAGTTTTCCATTGGATTTTGGAATATTGCATGTCATAAGATCTTTGGCAAACACACGTCACCACCGCTAAGCTAAAGACAGCTAATGTTTTGCATGATGACGTTAAGTAGTCCATTTAGCCACTTGTTAGCAACCATCGTTTATTAAAGACACGTAAAAGCTACAGATGTGTTCACCAGTTGGGTATTCACTGAAATATTTTATGTTGCAGAACAAAGAAAGATCATTGTAAGCTTGTGTTCACCACAGACCTTATTTCGGGAATTAAGAAAACCCATTTAAAAATACACGGAAGTGCTAAAATGCTCACTTTCGGGGTTTAGGACTCATTCCACTCTATTACAGACAGCTGAAATTATTTAATGGAATTTAAATTAATCTCAAACAAAAAAAGCCCAACAATATTGTGGAACAGCCTTTTGCTACATAACGGTAAAAGATTTGTAGTGCGATTTGCAATGGCGTTATTGTCTAGTTGTCTCTGTTTTTAGTTGTGGGAATTATACATTGGTTCAGTATTGTTTTCATATTTCAAAGAGGACATACTCCGGTCATTTTCAGGTTCATATTTGTATTTTGTGTCTCTACTGTGACATGTTTCCATGCTTTAAGGTTCAAAAAGCTCTATATTTTTCTCATACTTCCTGTGCTGCAGCTCCTCTTTTCACCCTCTGTCTGAAACCAGAACCCAGTCTGATTGGTTAGCAGGTCGACTCGGTTGTGATTGATCGACCGTTTAGAGATGTTTTGGAAATGTTCCACTCCTTAACCTATCATGTTCAATGTGTTGGAGCGATAGGCAATATAAGTTACGTAGTGATGTCACTATGTTACGGAGGTAAACAAAGGAATTTGATCGAGGCGTTTCATGCAGGGGGGGGAGTGTGTGGGAGAGAAACTCCCTCTTGAGGAATCCTTTGGATTTTAGCCTTTGCAGACCATTTACATGCACAAAAACCTATATAAACTAACCCTAACCCCTAACCCACTAAAGGAGAGCCCCAGAAAACATAATAGTGCCTCTTCAAGTTGAATGTATAGGGCTTTCACTGTTTTGGGACCATGTTGGAAATTAAACCTTAACATTATCTATTACATCAATTGATAATTGGTAGTTAAAGCAATTCATCTCTAACACACCTCTTTCCTTGTGCGTACTGCAGCATCCTGGATTAACTGTTTGATGGCCTCCTTTGTCTTCTCCAGCTCATCTTTTTTCTGTTTCTCTCTTAACAGGATCTGACAGGAGAAGGTGAAGAAACACACAGTTACACTCTCAGTCAGCAGGAGATGGATTGTCAGAGTATCTTGCAGCTCAACAGATTTTGAGGGAGGTTCAGCCAAAGAAAAAAACAACAGAAGAAGGGATGGTTACAGAAAGGAAGTGTCACCTGTTCCTTTAGCAATGTGGCCTCCTCAGCCACCTGAACGCTCTCTCTAACTTTGGCCAGGGCTTCGTACTTCTCCTCTTCCAGGGTGCTGCAGCGATTTTGAAGTTCCCCCACCTTTCTCTCCCACACAGTTTGATCCCTGCGAACCGTCTCAGCCTCCTGGGTGGCAGCTTTTAGTCTGGAAGAATGTAGAAAAGTTAGAGAAAGGTAAGTACAAGCAGGGGGGAAGACAGGAATTGCTGCATGGCTCTTTAATACTGTCATTTGGAGGTCAACTTCTACTACAACTGATTCAGAAATGCTTCGATTTGATAACCAGAATGTGGTGTGTCTAGAGAACTGTAAACACTTCTAGAATGAAGATTGTATACAATTGTGTCACTAGTTTCACAATGCTGCAATACAACTGTTTCATTGAGTGATTTTTGTCAATGTTGTATTGAAAGAACGTCGGAAAATGCTGATTTCAAATATGTGAGTTTTCCTGCTTTTCTCGCATCATTTTGAAAATATTTAAGTTATAAACTGACAAAGAAGACACTTGAAGACATCCCTTTGGAATTTAAGAAAGTGGGATGGACATTTTTATAAAAAAAAGAAAGTTGTAATAGAAAATATAATGTGCAATCCACTTCCTCAAACATATGTTCTGTATTTTTCCAGAAGAAAAAGCAGAGGTTTTCCTCACCTGGCCTCCAGCTGGCTCAGGGCTGCCTGAAGCTGCTGGAGCCGTCTGTCTGCTGCGTCCTCTCGACCCTGAGCCTCTGCCACATCTTCCTCCTAAATGTATACACATAAAACAAATACATTTTTTTCTCAATTACCCGGAACAATTCTTTGACAAACATCTTTTGGAGGATATTGGTAAAAGGTGGCCACAATATCCTAAAAGTGATGCCCGAATGCAAAAAACAAACAACATAAAATCAGATAAATGTTCTAATAAGTATGAAACAAAAGCAACTGCTGTTTCAATTGAATTCATATCACTGCATACTAAAGCTAGGTTCAGTCAACAGCTAGAGAAAATAAATGAACCATTAAGTGCCAGTACTTGGAATAGATTACAGTTACAACAATTTTATTAAACACAAAAAATGACATTGTTTTAAAGATTTTACAAACTTTTTAGGTGCTTTACAACTCTGGAAATGCTGAATATATTTATATTCTGTGCATGTTTTATCTCCTCTCACCCGTCTCTGCATTTGGTCCTGGAAACTCTGCAGCAGTTTGGTCATCTCATCCACTTTGGCTGTGGCCGTCCTCAGCTCAGCCTTGGACTGCCTACACCGGCATGACAGAGAGACAGAAACAGTTAAAGCACCAAGACAACCTGACGGCCATCTTGAATTTATAGTCCCCTTATTTGGTTATTAAAACATTGTTTATATTTAAGAAAATTCACTTAATTCACTGTTTTTGGATGCGACAAATTATATAATGCAACATGTTAACTTCTGAGCTTTGGAGGTGTTCACAGATGGATTTAGTTTGCTTTTTAACAGAGAGTCATAATGCTAAGCTAAGTTAACAGGCTGCTGACTATAGCTTCAAGCGTATTTTATAAACATTTCAAACTATTCCTTTAAATTAGACGCTTAACCAAAATGAAAATAAACAGCAAGTACAGCTGCAACGATTGTTTGGTTGAAATAAAAAAGACCACCAATTGTTTGCAAAAATCAATTAATAGTTCATATTCAACGCAACCTTGTACTTTGATAAACTGGGATGAATATTTCTATGTTTGACGAAAGCCTTTTATGTAAAAAAGAAACAATAATAAATCGTGCAGATTTAACTTTTCTGTAACAACATGGCTTTGAGCCATGGGTAAGACTGCTTCGAGGACAAGTAATGTTGAATCCTGAATCAATTTGTTTTTCCCATAGTAACAATACCTCTACTTCTGAGAGAATGTGTCAGCCATGTTGAATGTATTTGTATTTGTATGTATTTGGTTACCTGTGTTGGCTGTGTAGATCCTCCATCTCTGTGCTCTGCTCCGTCACAGTCTTCAGAAACTGTTGGTTTGTCTGTGTGTGGCAAGAGAGACAAGACTGCCATTTGTGTGGCATGACTCCAAACACACACACCCCAACTTTATCCCAAAACTAACTTTCTCCTTTATCTCACAATTATTTGACCTTTTAGAACACACCCTAAGGAGACCCTGTCGGTCATTCATGGCTCACAAAGGATCCACACATAGAGACTGAGGGGAAGAAGGCTGCTGGTTTCAGAAGTCAGAGAAGGGAAGCCCAAGGCATACCCTCATTAAAAATGCATCAGAAGGATATAGTATTACCCTCTCCTCACACATTGCTTTGTGTCCAAGGTAAGCACCAGGAACACATGTGTGAGGGTATCGGTTTGTGTGTAAATAAAGAAACTCACGCAACACTAAGCCTGTCAGATAACTACTGCAAAAGAGAGCCTTATAGTTTGACGCCGAGTGTATTTTCAGGTTCATATTTGTATTTTGTGCCTCTACTGTGACATGTTTACATGCTTTAATGTTCAAGAAGGTCTTTATTTTTCTCAAACCACCTGTGCTGCAGCACCTCTTTTCACCCTCTGTCTGAAACCAGAGCCCAGTCTGCTCTGATTGGTTAGCTAGCAAGATCTGTTGTGATTGGTCAACCACCTAGAGATGTCCTGGCCCTTAGTCTATCATGTACAATGTGTTGGAGCGCTAGCCAATAGTAGCCAAGTGTTACATAGTGATGATACTATGTTATACTATGTTATAATAATAATAACAATAATACATTATATTTATATAGCGCTTTTCTACAACTCAAAGACGCTTTACAGTATGAGGGAGGAAACAAGGACAGGCAAAAAAAAAAAAAAATGGGGTTTTGAGGCAGGACTGAAAGACTGTGAGGGACTCAGAGTCACGAAGATCTTGGGGGAGGGAATTCCAGAGCCTAGGAGCTGCCACTGAGAAGGCTCTGTCCCCAATGCTGCAGAGTTTGGATGTGGGAATGGATAGGAGTCCGGCTGCGGTGGATCTGAGGGACCGTGGGGGTTGATAGGGGGTGAGAAGGTTTGTGAGATAAGGGGGGGCCAGATGGTGGAGTGCTTTGTAGGTGAGGACCAGAATTTTGTAGTTGATGCGATGGGAGACAGGAAGCCAGTGAAGGTCTTTGAGGACTGGGGTGATGTGATGCCATGATTTGGTATGCGTAAGGTGACGTGCAGCTGCATTTTGAACCCGTTGGAGTCTGTTGAGGGATGTAGTGCTGATGCCGTAAAGAAGTGAGATGCAGTAGTCAAGGCGGGAGGAAATGAAGGCGTGGATTAGTCGTTCGGATGCGGGGCGGGAGAGAGAGGGTCGGATTTTTGCAATATTGCGGAGGTGGAAAAAGGAGGTTTTGACTGTTTGGCGGATGTGAGGTTCGAGGGAGAGGGTGAGGTCAAAGATTACGCCAAGGTTGCGTGCCTGATTGGAGGGGGAAACAATGGTGCCGTCGATGGTGAGTGTTATGTTAGTGACCTTGCTGAGGGTGGATTTGGAGCAGATTAGGAGGAGTTCTGTTTTGTTGCTGTTCAGTTTGAAGAGGTTATGTTGCATCCAAGTTTTTATAGCTGTCAGACAGGAGTCGATGTGGGTAAGGGGTGGGTTATGGAGGGATTTGGTGCTGAGGTAGATCTGAGTGTCATCAGCATAGCAGTGGAAGTCGAGGTTGAAGTGGCGGAGTATCTGACCGAGGGGGTGGTAATTAGTGAGGGAGGAGGGATCAAGACCGGGTTTTTTGAGGATTGGAGTAACGGTAATCCAACAGGATTGGAGTAATTTATGTAAGTAAACAAAGGAGTAAAGTCGAGGCGTCTAAGGCAGGGGGGGGGGGGGGGGGGGGGGAATAGCAACTCCCTCTGGGATTTTAGCCTTTGCAGACCATTTACATGCACCAAAACCTATATAACAAGCTACAGGAAAGGGACAACCCCTAAAAGATTAATAGGGCCCCTTTAAAAAAGGCATCCACATCTAGTTAATGTTTAAAAAGCTAATCAAACTGGAAAAAATAATCGAACACTGCATTTACATTTTGATTAAAAACCTGAAACTACTTTGCCGTTTTTATAATGTCTATCGTATCATATGTTTGTCTTTTCTTTTCTTGTAGTAGAATTGTTTATCATAGTGTTTTCTAACTTAATCTGTGTATTTTATATTGTGTTTGCATTAGATACTGTATGGATATATATATCCCTTCTGCTGTTCATTAGTATCTAATCACGATGTATGTTTATTTTTAAATGTTATTGTATTATTTGGGATGGTTCAAACTAATCTAATTAGGGAGGACTAAGCTGCTCAATCTACAACAGGCCTCCTATCTCACATCTCTTTCCTTTTTTCTGTAATATATGTATATATAATTCTTTTTTTATCACTTAAATGGGGTTAGTGGAGAGAGTGGAAGGAGGTTTTGGTTGAATTAGTTTGCTCTAGTTTAAAGGAGAGGTGTCATGCTTTTCCGGTTATTACCCGTCCCCTTGTGTGTTATGAAGGTTTTTATGCATGTAAACGGTCTGCAGAGTCAAAACCCTCAAAGTACACCCTATAGCGAGTAAAACTCTAACACAGAAAATACCTCCCCAAAACGCCTCGTTGGAGATACGTCATTGTCCATTTGATTCTTCCGGGTACGGCATGATGTCAAGCCGTACCCGGAACGAAATGGACCAATCCGTGGAGCCGTTACGTTAAGCCCCCGCTGATTGGTCCAAATTGACCAATCCACGGACTTCCTCACACACACTCAGTGCAGGCAGCTCAGCTGATTTCTCCTCCCTGGCTGCAGGCTGATAACAGACTGCAGGATCGCGGCGAAATTCTCTCTGCAGACCCATTCTCACAGCGTTTATCAACCTTTTTCTTACTCAATATCAAGCCACACTTATTGTTTTTACTTCGGCTGTGACTTTGTGTGTGCTCAGGATGAGTTTGGCTGTGTTTCGCTATGTATCCTAAACAAGGAAACAACACCTCCACGGAGCTCAGCGCGATTCACAACGTCCCGACCAATCAGAGCACACTGTGCTCACAGGGAGGGTGGGGGCTGGAGCTATTGGAGCTACAACGAGCCGTTAAAGGCAGAGAGTGAAATTCAGTGAATACACGTAGTTTACAGAGATGCTGTATGAGAAACCAATGTGAGTTTGGAAAAATGCACAGTATAAATCTATTCTAGTAGACCTCAACAATGGAATTATGATCAGTGGAAATGGCCATGACACCTCTCCTTTAACACATTTACATGAACACAACAATTTATTCCAAATGTTTGAACTGAGATTCATGCTGGATTTGCCATTATTTGTTCAATGCTTTGGCAGCACATACGTCATTATGTTCATGCCAAAAATAAAAAATGTAATTTGAGAGAAAGAGAGAAGTGCATAAGGAAACAGTATGTGCTGGAAGTTAGAGGATTACCTAGCGAGCTGACAGTCCATTACACAGCTGAGACAGTTCTGGCCAACTACCAGAGGGATTTAGACTCATTGAGTTACACGATTCATTATTAAAGCAGGGGGTTCATTTCGGAGGAGTGCACAGCATTTCGATCCCACGGCTAATTAGGAGGCAACGATTCAAACACGCTTTTAATTAACCGTCACTTACCGATTCCAGGTTCTGATTGGCCACTTGAAGTTTGTGTGTGTGCTGCTGGAACTGAACAAGCTGATCCTGTGAAATAGGGACGAAAAAACAAGTAAGAAGAAGAGGCACTCAATAAAACCTAACTGCTTGTAATTACCTTGTGCTTATAATGAGCATTAACTGAGGCCAAACTGCTCTAATTAACCTTATTTCTACCTGAATGGCTCCATCTAGTGGTGGAAGCCTGATGTGCTGCTAGTGTGCTGCTGCTGAATGCTCATGTGTCAACTGCACCTTAGGGAAACAACTCATCACCCCTTTTTTTGTATCTTTGTGGACTGCCAAAACTAATATTCTTGTTTTTTGTAAATTGTTAATAAATAAGTAAATGAAATGTATGTATCTTACGTTTTGTATGTATCATAATGATTTTCTTTACCTTATTAGAGCCCTTAAAGGTGGGGTAGGTAAGTTTGAGAAACCGGCTCGAGATACACTTTTTGTTATATTCCATGGAATGCTCTTAACATCCCGATAGCAATGAATATCTTAAGTGCTTTGACAAAAAATCAAAAAAAATAAATAATCTGTGGAAGCCGTAGTACTGTAAAAAGTACGACCAATCATTTTAGCCGGCCCGGCTAAAATAACTGGATGGCCTACCTGCCTGTCAGCCTTCCGTCTGTGCACAAACTTATCTTGTGCCCTCATTGGTCATGTGCGCGTTCGTGTGTGTTGGAGGAGGGGCTCTGTAAGGAAGTGGCAGATTTTCTCCGGTCGTGTATTTTCAAATTCTAGCGATCTCGAGCCGGTTTCTCAAACTTACATACCCTACCTTTAAATTAATGAAAAAAAAGAATACAGCACAATTGTTTAGGATAACAAAATAAAAGGATTTATTTAAAAAGTATAGCCATTTGATGCATTTATTTAATTGTACAGATCTTTTTACATTTGATATGTTTATGTCATCTATTTTTGATATGTTCATTCCTGTCTTCTGTATGCTTCTGTCCCTGCTATTTTATTGTAAAATATCTTAAAGCCATGTTATTTTGTACATTCATTTTTTATACAAAATAATATAAAAAACGGCACCTTGAGCTGTTGTCTCTGAGCAACGTGGATCTGTCCGTCAGTGGCGGTCTTCTGGAAGGTCTGCTGGAGGCGATCCAGCTCCTGGGCGGCCGTCTGCCCCAGCTCCATGGCCTGCACACGCTCCTAATCAAATACAAGCAAAAATATGTATGTTAAAAACTCAAATTGCTCTCTTACTATGGATTACATCCCTGCAAGGCAAGTTCATTTATATAGCAACACAACGCAACCAAGTAACAAAAAAACATTAAAAGCATTGAGACAAAGTGCAACAAAATCACATTAGAAAATGTAATATTGTAAATCTAAATACAAAATGATATTGCATTGTAAGATATACAACGTTTTTTTTATTTAATAAAAGGCAGTGGCTAATTGAAAAGTCCTACTGATTTAAAAAAAAAAAAAGGTGTGATCTGCAGTTTTCTGGTTGACTGTTCCAGATATGTGGAGCATAATAACTCAACTTCTCCAATCATGTGCATTCAGAAAAGGGGATCAAGTGTAGAGCCGACACTAGCGGCATTTAAAACAGCTAGAATCTGTAAAAAGAGAACTGCTTCAAAGTTATTCTTGTGTTGTGTCCTGTCCGCAAGTGAGTGAGTCACCACTAAATGAAATAGCTGTCCTGTGTAGAGCCATTGGGGACAGATGTTGTAATAGCTCTCGTCAGTAAGCCCAAGGCCACTATTTAACAAAGCATTAATGTTTTGTTTTTCGTAGCTACACATTGAAAATACACAATATAAAACATTTAAATATGACGGTTTAAAGTGGTTCCTTTCTTAGGCTGGTATGACCAGCAGTTTCTGAAAGCAAACGTTAGGTTAATACACCTACTACTGAGTCATGTCGCTTTCTCTACTTGTGCTACCTATAGAAGTATTTGAGACGTGAACATAGTAACTGTGATGTCACCCATGGCATTGTGAAGTAACGTTTTCAAGCCTTGAGTCTGTTTTTTTGGCCATTGCCATCTCGTTTTGTTGGAGCAAGAAGTGACCATATTTGGAAAACAGGGTGGAGCTAGGAGGCATCTTTCCTTGTTGACAGGTCACTGTGGGACCATAATTTACACAAAAAAAACATGCTGTTTTTTTTACTTCAAACTCTAAACTTTAACCTCTTCAGAAAATGTTAACTAAGGGAATAAATGAAGTAAGAAGTTGGGTCTATTTTTCGTAGTCTTCTATAAAACCTGACTTGATATATGGCCCCCTGCTGGCCAATTTAAAGGTATGCATGTTTAACACACTACTGCATTGGCTTCACTTTTCAATCTAGCGTCTACGTCAAATTATTTTACAGTCTTTGGCGCCACTGTAACATTAGTTATTTGTTTCAAATAAATGCTTGACCGTAGTTTGTGTATGGGATAATGTGCAGCGAGGCGGTCATTACTAAATAAAACACAGACAGAGAGCCCACACTGTGGTACTGTTAATGTTGACTTCCTGTCTGACGTCCAGTGCTCTGTCTTTTAACCTCTTCCATCTCCACAAATATAAAAATAAAAATTCCCAAACTATTCCAGTATTTTCAGATGGAGCAATCTAGTGTTTGTTGTCCACAGCTGATCAACCAGACTTTTTTCTGCAAATTGATATGACTGCACATTTTCCCTTGATCCTCCTTATCAATGGTCATGTGCTCACTAGCACCGATAGCGAAAAATAACAAACCTCTGGAATGCCTAAATTGACCTATAAAAATAAAGTATTTACCATGTAATAATTACATTTGTTTTCCTTAAAGATTTCAATGTGCTATTTGTGTGTATAATGTGAGGTTTCTTTTTTTATTGATTTTTGAGTTTTGGGATGTGATTGTTTTTCTGAGGGTGCAAGATGTAAGTGGGCGCATTCTGATCGAGAGGTCAGAGGTTAAATCCCTGCCCCTGCAGTTGACATGATGAAGTGTCCTTGGGCAAGATACCTGAATTGTATAGAGGTAGCTTTGAATAAAAGCATCAGTTAAAAAACATGTAATGTAATAATAGTGAATAGAGGTATGGTTTCTCTGCCTCTGTATCACTTGTTTAGGATTTCCTTGATTTAGGTTTTTTAGGTTTTGTGTCTCATTGGTTGTTTGCATTTTTGGTTTTCTCTAGCTTTACATTTTTTTGAGAGATAAACTCTGGTTTAATTGTCTTCTTATTTAACAATTTATATTTATGTATCATATAAAACACATGATCTCACGTCTGAATGCACAGAGATGAAAACATATTACCTTAGTTTTTCTCTTTTGGCAAAACAGCAAACAAATGTGGAATCAATCCTCTTATGTTTGGATATAAGGACGTATGCAGACCTGTTCACAGAGCTGGAGCTGCTCCTGCAGGTTTCTGATGACCGCTTCCTCCTCCAGCGTGCCGCCCTCCACTCCTGAAGCCACCGGCAGGACATGAAGCTGCTTCTCAACTGACTCCCTCAGCTCTGCATGCAGCCTGGCGACAGGAGAAAGGTCATATTGAAAAATATGTAATTAGATAAAGTTCATGATTTAAAAAAGAATACCAAAACCTTAATTACAGTCCACAAACCACACTTTATTTGGCTGTAAAATGTAGATAAATATAACAAGTTCAAGTAAATGTCTTATAAAAGACAAAGCAAAATAAAAAATATAGAAATACAAATATTGTATAAAGTGCAAAGTAAAAAAGTGCACAAAATGTTTTTGTGGTGGGACATACAGATACAATCAAAGTCACTCAATGTTTATTAATGAACTTTTCAAAAACAAATAAATAATTCAAGCATCTGATGTTCTTTAAAAACATATCAAATGTCAGAAAAGAGCTTGCTTGTTAACACCAGTAGAATTCTTATTTACCTTTCATTCTCCTTGACAACCCTCTCCAACTTCACTTTCATGTCTGTCATCAGCCCCTGTTGATTATAGAAAGTAGAAAAACACAGTGAAAACCTATATTTCATTTTTATTTAAGAAGGAAAACACACTGGAGAACCTCTTTCTTGATTGACAGAATTCCATGGTACCATCATTTACAAAATGAACATCATGCTTTATTGAAGAATTAAAAAAGTTGGGTCATTTCTGCTTATACATCTACAAAAATGGACGTGTGTTTCCTGCTGTCCATTTTTAAGGAATGCTTAATAACGCACTACTGCATTGACAAACCTCTCAACTTTGACATTTGTCATTAGTTCTTGTTGATTTAAACAATAGACAAACACTTATTGTTATGGAATAGTTAAGAAATCCTTTTGCATATTTTATTTAAGGAGGCACACACTAAAGCACCCTCTTTTCTGACTGACAGGTCGCTGTCATATCATCATTTACAAAACGAACATCATGACATGTCGAAAACTCTAGACCATAAACTCATTAAGAACTGTTTACTGAGGGTTTTTTCTTTAGGGGGGCAAACAGCTTATAATTGATCAGATTTAGACTTAGAGAGATGGGCGTTTAATTCATTATTCCCAGACAGTTTTCTACAACTTAACTTCCAATCATTTATATTGATACATCCCTTAGTATGTATCTATATATCTAAGTCCAGATAAAGTCCAGATATTGAATGTTTGTGTGTTTGTAAAGTTTAATTTAACTGTCCAAACTGAATTTGTGTCTAATTGTTTTGTATTACCTCGTATCTCTGCAGCTTTTCTGTCATTTCCTCCATGTGCAGATCATACTCAGCTATCAAAGGAGCCATTATACTGTAACACAGAACAATAATCTGTCACTTTCGTACATATATATGATATGATTCTCACCAGTGCAATCATATCAACAGAAGATGGTTGTCCTTTTTACTAGGCCTGACCTTCTATCTGCCATCCAAGGTTTGGGAGCCTCGGCCCGTCTAGCATCTTCAACCTGATGATGAAGATTAAAGATGTAGGAGGTTAGAATGAGCAACAAATAATGGTTGACAGATGTATATTAACAGATGTTGTGTTTGTTTTACCTGAGCTGATGTAGATTGAGTACCATGCTCATACTGATACTGGCTTAGAGCAGAGTTTAATCTGTGGACTGATACAAGAAAACAGTCATACACATGTTGCTTAATTATTAGATGGCATGTCCCCCACCCAACTGGACTATTTATGGAAAATACAAATCATCACAAACGGGATCCTACTATTAAGCCTATTATAAAAAAGCTCCCAGGTGCCGAAAGACCGCAGCCACTTTGCTTTGACAGCTCCATTAAATGAATGTGTATTTGCACGTGTGTATTTTGGGCCAAATGACTTAGTCCATTTTGAATGTGCATTCAAATGACTCAAACAACAGCTATTCTGTTATATTGTAATTAACTAAAAACACATGATATGGCTGAACAATACATGAAATATGATCGAAAATCGAAATATTGGCTGTTGCAATATGTTTTTCTGCTAAAGGCTCTTTATGTCTGGTTTATTTTGAGCATTTTGTCTTGAATTTTAGACTTTAAATATACTAAGAGCCTTCAACATTGCACTCCAAAAATCATGTCAATTTGAGTATTGATTTAGGATCAAAGACCATGTCATCATAATTCAAACAGATTATTGATGAACAACAGCAATACGGATGTAGATCTATTATTTTCTTTCATTTGAATTATCTCAAACATGTTTTCTACAGTGTGCTGTTGGTTTCAGTAGACATTATAGAAAAGATGGAGAAGTCACCATGGTTTATTTGGAATGAACAGTCTGTTATTATTCTCCATCTGAATACTTGGGCTAAACCTTTTTATAAAAATGTTTTTTTCTGATACACAAAATAGTATGTCTTCCCTGGTTTGTCCTTACCTTGATCCCGTAAAAACTTAACTTCAGCTTCCATGTTGAAGGTGCAGTCTAGATAGAAGCAACACAACGATAACGTTAGCAATTTAAAAAAAACACTAACGTAACATTTATATTGTAAACTTAACTGTGTCAAAAGCACAAGCCCTGCTCTAACGACCTTAAAAAAAGCTGCTGAATTATAAATTAGCTTGCGTCACCGGTTGTTGCCTAGTGCAGCTAGCGCTAAATGCCTCAATCTCAGCTAAGCTTAGCTAGCTAACTAAACCCTCTTGACCGTTACATAAAGTGGCTATCGTGTAACACAAACAATTCTAGAGAAAGGTAACACTTACGGGTTGTATACATGTATTATTTGACGTTTACATTTAGTATAGGACGCTATACTGGTGTTTTTTACATAGTTTTCTGTTGCGCCGTCTGTTTTGAAGCAAACAAATAACAACCAATGGCAGTGAAGATGTGCACCGCATAATTGCTCCGTCGAAACAGGAAAGCGAAAAGGTTCCGCTCTATGTCGGGAAGCGTCAGTCGGATATATTTTTGAAGGATGTGTTGATTCAATCAATTCATATCGTTTAGTTTCAGTACTAGTGTTATACATATGACGTTTTTCAAGAAGAAACATGTGGTGTTCTTACCCTGACGTGTTTGCATGCTTCGTATTGATACAACAATAAACAGGTTAAACAGGTTAGCTCTCAGTCACATGATTTGCTAACACAATAGGAGTTATGTTAAAGTTACTGGATATGTGTTGGTAAACGTCATTTGGATATTGTGTTGATTTGGTAAGACCTTCAACGACATCTTGGACACCATTAAGGTTCATTTGGATAGTTCCCAGTTTTCAATATCAGGAAGTATATGTGTACCATCTTAATAAGTTATTGAGTAACAGAACTGTATTTGTCATTTACCTAATTTGATAACAAACTGTTTGAATAGCAGAACGGGGTGTGCATTAAGACATGATATGCCCAGCTGTAGTACAGTTGAGAGCATTTTACCAGTGAGTCTTTGCAGCTGTGACAACATGGGTGTAGCTCGTGGATTACAGTTTCTGACACTTATCCAGTTTGTACTATGCTGTAATTCTCTGTAAGTTTTGCAACATTTGTATGCACTGTGTCACATAGCAGATTCTTATTCTGATTGATTTTTCTTCTTCAATCCTTTTAGGAAAATGCAGTATTTGATCGAGCACACCTGGGATAGCAATCCTGTGAATCATGACCCTATCAGGATCAATTTCTCTCCTGGGCAAGGAGGGCTGAAGATAGAGATGTTTGGTCCCTTCTTCAATGACCCAGTAGGTCCTGCGAGCCCCCCCAGCCAGCCCTTCCCTGGACTCTGGAATTATGAAGGTACGTAGAAAAGTAAAGCAAAGGCAGTGCTGCATCATGTATGTCTGCTACTGCAATACACAGCTTCCTGAACATTCACCCTGAGCAAATATGTCTGTAGAAGGACAATTTATATGACAATCTATGATACATTTATAGAAAATGCAAAAGTCACAAATTGGTACAGATAGAGTTACCTATTTACCATAGTTATATTAGTTTAATTTCATTGAAATGTAATAATCATTGTGGAACTTGTCTTTTTGAATGCATCGATCATTAAATGAATAGGCCAACATTTTAGGCACTCCAATGTTTACCCATTTTATATCTGTCCATACAACATGACACTGCAGATAGTAAGCTTGGTTCAGTTAATCTCCATAATCTACCTGCAAACACCTCAAAATCTATTTTATTGTTTGTTTAATCTGTATAGAAACCAAAGTGTTATAACTACAAGTTGTGGTTTACCCTTTTACCCATGGCTTAGCAATACATAGATATGGGTCGATGTATAGATTCATCAGATCATTAATGCAAAGGGAAAAACATCAATATGATCATTTTTAGATAAGCCATTTTTTTTGAAAATCCTATGGCATCTCTGTCTCACCATTTCCATCCAAGAGAATATACAATCTTAATTTTTTTCTTTTTGTTGGCTGAATTCAATTATACTGATAGTTTTGAATTGAAATCACATCGTGGCAGACTTTGCGATATCAGAAATATGGAATCATTGTCCAAAGAGTCAATATATTATTGTATTGTGATGAAACTTGTAATTTAGCCTCCCAAGTTATTATACTAAGCTACAGTAACCAGTCTTTAGCCTCAGCATCATATTGAATGGACAAATATAAAAGTTGTTTATTTTCGCTCAACTCAAACTCTTGTGTAAGTTAACAAGTGATTGTTCATGCCAAAATATTGAGCTATTCCTGTATAAACTAAAACAAAAAGTGTTTATTAATCCAGTCTGTGGTTTTGAATCAAACGTACTGTAACCTAAAAAACTGGAAAAAAATTGCAATAGCTGTAACAGATTGCAATATGTTGTACAAGTGTTGCTTTCATGGTTCCAAAACCCCAACAGTTTGTCTTATCATAACTTGTTATCACAGTCATGATTTAAGGATTTAGTCTCTATGTGTGATGCAATTTTAGGCGAATAGAAAAGCTGAGATATAATCATGAACATATTACAATGATGTTGTAGAGATGAGAGACGAGCTCTGTTTATGAGGCCCTAATAGTGATTGCATTATCCTTATTATGGTGACACAGCAATTAAACGTTGTAATGAGGTTGAGTAATAACAATCCTATCTAATTGACCTTAAGTAAGTTCGATTTCCGGTTAATGAGCCCCACATATTTGACCTCATTAATGCTACTTATTCGATTTGAAACCATTGCCATTATAATCTAGGTAGATAATGAGCATGCTACGAGGTGAGCTGGTCTTCGTATCTTTTTTAAATGTTTGTACATAATATTATTAGGCTGACTCAAAATAAATCACTGAAATTATTTAATTATTCTTGATTAACTACTCTTCTTCCTCTTATCAGTTGTGGAGTGCTTCTTCCTCGATAGCACTACAGTAAATTACCTTGAAGTGGAGTTTTGTCCGTAAGTATTTAGCTCATTTCTAATAACCACATGACCATACGTTTTTAGATTGTCTTTAAACAATCTGTTTTATTTTATTTTAGACATGGACAGCAACTGATATTGTTGCTGTCAGGAGTTGGCCAAGCATTCCAGGTAGGCAAACATTGAGGGAGTGGTTGATAAGGGGCAGCGCTGCTTTGAGTCAAGTATTTATTCTTTTTGTCTCGATATTCTTCCTCAAGCAACAACTTCCCATGGTGTTTAATGCCACGATCAAAGGGGACAGATGGATGGGGGAGGCTCTCCTCCCTTGGTCGTACTTGCCCCCCAATATCAACAAGATGAACTCCTACGCTATCCATGGCTCAGGAGAGGGGCGCACATATGAGGCTCTCTACCCCATCCCCAAGGAGGACATAGTGGAAGGCCAAAAACCCAACTTGTGAGTATTCAAACTCCTATGAGGTCATCTAAACGTAGATTATTTTATGTCCAGCAATTTAGTATTTGACTTTCATGAAGTTTGGGAAGATTCATGAAAAAGTGGTCAAAATAAGCTCCAAAAACATTGGATTCTAAATGGCAACTCCATGGTGTCTTTTGGTAGACCTTCACAGAAATTATCACATCTATCTACCTTTACACCCAAATTGTAAGTGTCAAGACCCATCAAAGATAACCCTGGTGATATCATGTATTCCTACAGCTTAAAGAAATATGATTTAAGATTTGTTAATGCCACTCAAAAAAAAAGAAAATGATGATTATTTAATTTTATTGGAACACCATTAACTTTCCTTTCAAGGCAGAATGCAGGTTGCAAAAGACCTTTCTGATTGATCCTATCACTCTTTTAAGTCCAATTTTTATACTCTCCGAAATCTGCAGGACCTTCATGTGACATGCACATGGTAAAGAAACAACATTTATAGTAGTTGTTCCCAATTGTTTTTGAAATTGAACAGTGCAATGTCAGTACAGAAACTATTCATTTAACGTATTCTATTAATACCGATTGAGGCCTTGTTTTATATTAATAAACTCAATGCCATTTTATACTTTTTAAACATTCTTCAGCATTCTTTGTCATAAGCAGTACTTTGTTTTAGTTTTTTCTCGAGTTCTTAAGACCTTCCTTCAGAGGCAAGAGGGAGAGTTTACAGCTGTTTTTTACAGGCAGAATTGTAAACTTAATTTCATATAGATAAATTAGCCGATAGCCTCTTGAATCTTTTTACTTTATTTAAAGGAAACCTATCATGCTATATTTAAATGAAATATTGTAGGGCCATACCTATATAAGGTATATTTATACGTTTCTGTTTTCGAAATACCAAACAGATCATGCATTTTAGCCATGCCTCATTTCGCTCTATGTGTTGTTTGCTGTCTACGGGTCTGATTTTGTGAGCTGCAGCTGACCACGCCCCCCTGCAGGAGAGGGGAGCCGCTCTGATCAGCTGCTGGGCTGTCAGAAGAGGGGGAGAAAAAGAGATCTCCGTCCTCCGTGTTTTATTATATAGAGTCGTTATTCATTTGTTTTAAAGCTCAATAAATAACAAAGAAGACCTTTGACCGGCACTTTTCTAATTTTGTCCGGAAGATTTAAACTTTAACGGACATCTTGACCGGCGAAAGAAACTGAAACTGAAACTCTGCCGCATGGTCCCCTCGTTCCTTGGAAGAGGCGGAGAGGTGGGTGTTTGTCATCTGCTGGTGGACTAACCGGAGAGAATTACAGTGCTTGCCTCGACGGGGAGGGATTGCATTGAATTAAAGCAGCAGAAGGAGCAAACACTTGCCTCGGGGAGGGAGAAAGAAAGCCACAGCGGAGAATAAACAGAAGGGTAACCATGGTAACCAAGTCTTCTTCGCTGCTTTTGTGGCATACTAGAGCGCCACTTACAGGCCTGGCATATGTACTACAGCGTCTCCAGCGCTTTCGAGCGGCAATGGCCGGCCGTGGCCCAACCCCACATTCCCCTGATAGGTGGAGAGTTGGCCCAATAGCCGTAGCTCCACTTTCCTGACGTCAGTAAAGTGTTCAAATCTGGATCAGTTTTTATCAGATCCGTTGCAGCCCCTTTTTTAGAGATTTGGGTATGGAGGAAAATAGAGAGGGTTGTGTTTTCTGACACTTGGTGAGTTCCCTGGAACACCGGGGACACATATTCATGTATAAAAGACGTACAAAAGTGCATTTTGCATGATAGGTCCCCTTTAAAGCATAGCATAAAGTACAGGCCAACTTGCATTTTTTTATTTGCTATGAGCCAACACCTTGCTAGGTAATTAAACTTTAAACAAGTATAGCTCTCAGAGAGCACAGATCCTTTTAGAGACCAATGTTGCATTCACATACTTTTGTATGATTGTCCCTTTTCCAAATTTAGGGAGTCATTTGTCCAATTTCAGTGTGTTCCTAAAATGGAAAGAACATTGACGCTTAAATAAATAGTTGCTGTTTTCTATTGCTTCAAACCATATAAGTGTAATTTGCCA